AACTGAGCTTTTAAATTTGCGCTTTGTTTTTGCTTCTGACTATTCAAAGAGCAGAAAATCATAATGTGTAGTGCTAATTCTCAGTATTTATGACTAAATCCTTGCTTAAAATGCTGGAAAGATACACAAAAAAAAAAATCAAATGGCAGATGGTGTCATCCTGCTAAAGCAACAGGCAACAGTAAACAATATTTAGGAGTGCTGAAGTGGAATTTAAGCAAGAGCTTTATCATGTAAGAGATGGACCTTTCCTTCGAGTGTTTCAATTCAGTAAATTTCTAGCTAATGAGTGGCACTAGTAATCTAACTTCAGTCATCTCAAATTCTAAATTATGCCGAGAGGTTGTGAGTGGTGGGGGGGAGGGCCTTGAGCATCTCTGGGATCCCTGTGAAGCAATTAAAAGGTCATGGTGGCACGACGCAGCTGCTCAGCACTTCATGCTCTTTCGCCAGGCAGAGTGAGTCAGTGCATAGAGCTGTTTGGGATAGTAATCCTAATTTTGGCTCTTATCTGCTGAGCGGGCTTGAGCAAGGTGCTTTGCTTTTGGGTAGATCTGTTTCCACTCTGTCTCTTACCTGGTCCGGGAATACTCCCCGTCCGGGACCGAGGTGCCACACCGTACGATGCTGCTGGGGTTGCTGCTGCAGTGGAAATAATGGTCAAGCAGAGGAGCCAAAGCTTCCTGACTGATATGAACGGCAGGACTCAGGCTACAAATCTCTACATTTAATATATGGAAGTCTTGAAGTGTTCTCTTGATTTTTTTTAGTTTAAAAGTGATTCTGACCTTAAAGAAAAGCAAAGTTAATGTGAGGTGTGAAGACCTTGTATAGAAATAAAATTATGAACATTTAAAACCAGATTATCAAAGCTGCCCTGCTGCCACCTTGCAGGGCTCAAAGAATTGAAGAGCTCCTGCCTATGGAGAGTGTTCTGGTTCTGAATATACTTTTTAATAAAATGTTTCTTTAAAGCAGTGAGAGTTGAGGTGGTTTATGAAGAGCACGGTTCTGCACCCTTTCATATGGCAGGGCAGCACTAACAATTTGGGAGAAGAAAAGCACCTGCAAAAAATTTTCAGGGCAGTGAATCCTGTTAGAGGATCTGTAGTTAATTGTCTTTAAGATGCACCCAGTGCTCAGTTGCATAATACACTTGTCAAATTTATTGAAGTGACACATCTATTTGTAACCCTCTGATAAGAACCTGATTAAATTTTTTTGCCTGACTTGTTGGAGATCCCAGTGTTGTCCCTTCTAATAAATGTCCACTGCGTGTCATTAATTTTAAGATTTGCAGTCCCATTAATTTTTTAAACAGATTTGGTCTGATTATAATGTATTTCGTGTGTTAGTAGCAGGAGGGCTGGCTTCACTGAAGGTTCACATTAGGTTTCATGTTTGAGTTTTTCTTCCTAACATCACATTGTTAACAAATGTTAATCAAACTCCTTTAGTTGCTGGAACTAGGTATGCTTTAAAAAGATACTGTGACCGAGGTCCCCTATTTGTGTTCCCGCATGAATTTAGGCAGGTAAGCACTCAGACTCAGGTTTTTTCTTTGGTGACAAGTTCTTTTCATATTAACAAAAAAAAAATCCCTGCTTTAGGAGGAGAAAGTATACGAATTTCTGTTTTGCTCCACAAAAGATGCTGGTGCTGATAAGCCTTGAAGATAGTCTTTCTGGTGCTTCATGAGTAAACATAATCCTTGCAAAATCCATCTGTTTGCAAAGATCGATGAGATATGCACTTTAGTGCCTTGGATACATAACTATTGCAGTGTTCCTTGGTGGTTTTTTTTTTTTTTAATTGCTTCCTAGCTCTGAAGAACACTTCTTAGAGTGAATGTGTTTTGAAGGAGGGGACTTGGCTGAAATTCAGCCTCTTATAGTCTAATGGAACTGAGCACTTGTTCTCCAATGCACCACTTCACCTCTTCCATAGTTGTTGGCAAACTAAGTGAATTGCTGCTCTACTGTTGAGCAGCCTTTTGAGATGCTGAGGAACACTTTTGTCTCACCACTGGGATATGTCACATAGCAGAGCTCTAATTGTGATCATCACCTCATCGCACAGTCTTCTCAGGTGGTGTCTTAAATGCTTAGACACTAGCAGATGGTCTCATGTCTTAGACCTCTTGTGTCTTTCCTTTGTGTTATCAGTTGCTCTAATCTTTCCAAATTATGCAAACTCTACCTGATTTTGGCGAATGAATAAAAGTTGGCCTCCTGCTGCCTTAGCATGTATTTTATTTTTTAAAACTTCCTGGAACACGTCTTGTGTTGCTCTGACAGAATTTGATGTTCCTCTGCCGGTGGGTTGAGAACAACAGAATTCTGTGATCTCTTTCAGTGTGGTGCAGATTACAATGCAAAGGCTTCTCTAATATGGCTTAAAGCCTCAGGGATTTGGTCTTCAAAAAAATAAAATGAACAATTCTGCAGTAAAGTAAGTGAGATCAGAGTTGTGTGGGAAATTCTTCAAATTCTTGAAGGAAGTATTGGACTGAGGTGGAATGAGAATTGACAAAAATGAAAATGTTTGGGGCGGGGGGGAATCTTGCTAAGGACCTGCCCCGGTGTTTGGAGCCTCGTGATGGGGGAGCTAACTGGTGGGCTAACCCCTAGAGCCAGCAGCTTGGTGTTGGCCAAGCTGGGAGTTGGGTTCAGGGGAGGCTGGTGTTTGGAGAGCTCAGCCAGCTGCTGTGATGTGCTGTAATACAGAAAATAAACGATGGATAATAATTTGCCCTGCAGGTGAATTGCTTTGAGCTAGAGAGAGTGGAAATGTCAGCTGGTGGGACGCCACATCGCTGTCTAGCAGTGATCTGCCCAGCCTACGTTGGTGATGCTCCTGTGTACCTCTGAGACAGCATTTGGACAAACGTTTCTCTACTGCCACCTACATGAACGGCACGCTATGCTGCATCAAAATGTAGGATACTTTTGCAGAAGACTTTTTTCAGATGACACCACATGTGTTTTTCTGATCTGAACTCTTAAGGAACTTGAAGGATCTGATCTCTATTTTCCAAGGGCACCTTCCTGCCTGCCTATTTTGGGAGACAGGCAAGTGCTGTCTGTCTAAGGAGCAGCAGTTTTACAGGTCACTGAAGGAAAATTTGAATCTAAGGTCTGGCTCAGCCATGGATCTGCTGTGAGGCTCTCAGTAATTTGTCTCATCTCTTTAGCTTCCACTTTCCAGGTAGCTCTTTGCCTGTTTTCTCTATTTAGCCCATGAGAGGATGGATTCTTTTGCTATATTGATACAGAGCCTCTTCCTGTATTTATACAGGGTCTTGTATAAATGGCTCATGGGTCTTCCAGCCAGAATAGTCATACCAACACCTAAACCTGTGATTTGAGAAACACTTAACTGTGTCACTTTGTTCATTTGCTGTTTTTAACACAATTCAACCTCTCCACCCAGGGTTGTGTATGTCCTTTGTAAACTGAAGAAATTGTTACATATGTATCTAAGTACAGGAGCTTTATAAATAGGAATGTTGCAAGTCTCTAGCAAAATCGTGCAAGAACCCCTTCTTTTAATGCCTATTTCACCATTCTTAACCCATTGACTAGTGACATTAAGTTTTTATTTCCATGCTTTATTTTCTTAATGACCTAATTTCATTAACTCTGCATCAGATTCAGGAAAAAATCTTAGCAAATATCAAGTCTGTTCAAAATACAGTAAGGCTTAAAGCTCGGGAAGGGATTTGTATATACCATTAATTTTCTTAACTGTAAACAAAGCCTGAGGGCTTTGTGTAATAACCACATTTCAGAGCAGCATGTGGCTCATTAAAGTCCTAGCATCTGAACTTGTATATTAAAGGCAACCAAATAACTCAGATGAGTAGTGCTTCTTCTATTAGTGAGAGTGTGTCCACTAGAAGGCACTATCTACTAGAGAATTATAAACTTGGGGGAAAAAAGATTGAAGAAAAGAGCTTCATATAAATAATATCTCCAGAACTGAAGACTTGCGTGTAATTTTAGGAAGAGGAGAGACAGTCTAGCTAGCCTTAGTTACAGCTATTTCACAGCAAAACCATAAGGAATCAAAATATGTTTTTTGATGGCACAATGTCAAATATATTGACAATATGAAATAAGGTATTTCTTGAACTTTTGAGTTTGGAGGAAGCAAGCGCTGAATGACTGGCAATTCCCCAGGATGTCAAAGACAGGAGAGTTAAGTCTCTACTCTTACGTGTTTGCACAGTAATCTTGGGCAAATAGATTTCCCATGCCTCATCCCTTCTAGGGAAAGGAACAAGCAGTTCCTTAGTGGGAGCACCGAGATAATACGTCTAGAGGAGCTGAGATAGCAAGATTTTGCTCAGATGTTCCCTGTCTCTCCTGCTGATTACAAATTGCAATAATTACAAGGCAATATAATAATTATTTCTCATGAACTCTGTCTCAAGACAGGGAAAGGTGCAGGCTGTGGTACCTGCCAGGCATCTGAGAGACTTAGGTTCAGCTCAGGCAAAGGAGGGATTTGAAGCTGGTTCTTGTGCATATCAAGTGGGTGTAGTAGTTTTGTAGTGGGTGTCTCTGGCCTATAACCAGTTTCATTCACTGCGAGGACCAGATGGTATTTGTTAAAGAGCTATCTGTGTATGTGCCGTCTTATTTACTGTGCATTGTCTTTAGGGCAGAGATTAAATGAAAAAATCCTCTTAAGGATTCCATAATTCTGTATCACTATCAGTGGGCCTTAGCATTTCAAAAGATG